ATTCTAACTAGACGCTCTTCTGTTTTTCTTTAGATAGATAGATAGATAGATGTTGTAAACCATTTTTCAATAGTGGTGACCTTTTTTTTGGCCTAGAAGGAGACATATACTAAAATGGAAGTCTGCATTTCACTTGTTTTTAAGTTATCGTGCTCACAATACACAGACGGTGGTTATTTTCATTTTGCCTGTTCGCTCCACGACGTGGGGCAAGATTTTTTTATTTTATAAAACCTAGCCTGAAACCCGTTTTGCACAAGTTTTTTTTTAAATACATTGTGTAAGGTATATAAAAAAGAAAAAAATCAAGATTAAATCCAACTTTAGCGCTTCTGAGTTCTTATGGACCAATAATAATTATAGTTTATTTCATGAAATGCCTTTCGTGCCATAATTTTTTGTTTAAGATCGTTTGTATGTTAAAAAGTGATGGAGTTGATGCTGTTTTGGTCAAACTTTGACAATATTTTGTGTACTCTTGTGATTTTGTGTCATTAGGGTGTGTGTGCTGTGTGTGACTATCCGCTACGACAAAGTTAAGTTTTACTGTAACATCTGTAAAACTGACTGATTATAGACTGACGCATATAAATGTGTTGACAAAGATTGATTAGCTGTGGTGGCCATTAAATGCACGAGTTAATCAGTTTTACAGGTACATCAAATGAAAACTTTAAGCTTAATTGAAACCTTATTCAGAAGTTTATCAAATAATTTGCAAACAGACCATCAATAGACTCCAAACGTTACAGCAAGGTCAAATTTTAGCTCAATATCTGTAAATTTTATTAAAGTTAGTTCACGGGATATTTTGCAGTCTAACAGACACAAACACATGGACAAAAACATTATTGCCCGTGTTTTTGTGGTGGGAGATAAAAAGTATTAACATTTTAAAGGGATTAATTGAGCAAAGTTACCACCATCGAATCACCACCTTGATAAATGGCCGACGGGCCTTTAATCTACCAGCCTATAATCCCAACTGATCAGAGGTTGAGATTACCATCAGAATGGGAGGGGCAGAGGCGCAGACAGGAGGTCGATGACAGAGGCTGAGCTCAGCCACGACAGGAGAAAAGCACCATGGCCAGAGATTGGTGCACACAAATAACCGGCCAATCGCAGCGCAGGAAGATGACGAGGCTGAGGGAGAGCTGCTGAACGAGGGAAGAGCTACGAAAAAGCGAGGGAGAAGGTGAAATCACAGCAGTGCAGAGAGACTAAACAAAGACGGGAGGAAGGATGAGTGGAGGACAGAACGCTGATCTGTGAGGCCCCCAGAGAGGAAGAGGAAGGAGATGAGCAGAGAGAGGAAGGAGGCGGCAGCACAGAGAACATCCATCAGCTGAGCCAGCCATGCTCTGAGCCCTGGAGCAGCAGGGCTACGTAGACACTGCACAGGCGTGGAGTCAGGCCCGCGGCTCAGCCTGCCGTCCCAGACGCCACAGAAGAAGGTTCCCCTTCCGTCAGCTCCACATTGGAACCATGAGGACGGCCAGGAAGGGCGGCGTGGAGATGCCGGCCTTCATGCGGCAGCTGGTCAAAGAAACGGAGAAGAGGGTCAGCTCTTTCTTTAAAGTGGGTCGTGGAGGAGCAGCAGAGGGAGAGCAGCCAGGGGAAGGGGAGAAAGAGGAGGTCTTCATCAGTCCATACCTGGACCGGCCCGTGTTGGACAAGCTAACAGAAGAGGGCTGTGCACGCTGGGGCCTCACGTACGCCCTGGGAAGCATGCAGGGCTGGAGGGCCAACATGGAGGACTTCCATAACTGTGTTCCCCAGCTGAGAGGAGAGCTGGGCGAGTGGAGCTTCTTCGCCGTGTTCGATGGTCACGCCGGCAGCACGGTGGCACAGTACTGCTCCCAACATCTTCTGGGACACATACTGGCCACAGGTGAATGACTTAAACACCCAGTAATGTGTTGGAGAGAAAAGAGGCTCTGATTACTGGTTGCTAACTCCGACTTCTTTGTGCCCACAGGTGGAGCTGGACCAGAGGACAACCCTGAAAAGGTGAAGGCAGCCATCATTGAGGGCTTCTTACAGACCGACAAACACCTGCACTCTGTGGCCCGGAGGGAGGGATGGGAGAGGGGGGGCACCACGGTGGTGGCCACCCTCATCTCGCCATATTACATCTACTTCGCCAACTGTGGCGACTCCCGGGCCGTGCTGTGCCGGTCCGGACAGGTGTGCTTCTCCACCGAGGACCACAAACCCTACAGTCCCTTGGAGAAAGAGCGTATTGAAAGCGCCGGTGGATCCGTGTCCTTCCAGAGGATCAACGGCTCCCTGGCAGTGTCCCGGGCCCTGGGGGACTTCGGCTACAAGGGGGCAGAGAACCGAACGCCCGTTCAGCAGATGGTGTCGCCTGAACCTGAAGTGTGCGTGGTGGAGCGCTCGCCACTGGATGAGTTCCTTGTACTGGCCTGCGATGGGGTGTGGGACACCGTCAGTAATGAGGACCTGTGCGCTTTCATCCACAACAGACTACAAGTCTGCACCGACCTGAGGGACGTCTGCGCTCAAGTCATCGACCTCTGTCTGTACAAGGTCAGAGCGAGACAAGATGCTGCTGCTGTGGAGCTTTAACCTGAACGTCACCACCAAACAGTTCAGGCTCACAGAGCAACAAGCGATCATTGTTCCTGTCTGTGTCTGTTACTCAAATATTTCATGTACGCATGAGCATGAAATAGATATTTACCCAATATGCAGCTAAAAGTCATTCACAACACACTCCAAGTGCTACTAAATATTTGCTTAAAGCTTTAGCATTAACTGTTGGGAGTTAACCCTGTTTGTTACAAAACATCTCACAAAGCACTGGTTGGATGTTACCAAAGATTTCTGAAGTAATCACTGACTATGCATCTAAAACTGAAGAACTGTTGGAGTTGGCATTAGCAACACAAAAATGGCTATAATCCAGTCAGTTTGGCAGATATTGAGCTAAACTCTGCGCAGCTGAGAGTCGTACCCAACACGTATAGTGAGGGCTAACGCCTCACGAGACCTCGTGAAATTATGCACAATGTAAATGCTCAAAGTATGACAAGTCTGTCTCCCATAAGATAACTTTAGTTTAAATCTCTTGCATGAAAAGTGGTGAGCGACATACTTCAAGGAATGTAGGATTCAATTCCAAATATACTAAATCTTAAGTTGGATCTAAAAGTTGACAACATCCCTTTTTGTTTTAGTTCAGTTAATAATTTTCAAGGCTTCCATCGTCCTCAGTCAGTGCATGAAGAAAATGTATCGTTTAAAACAGAAAAACAGAGAACAGCCATTCAAGGTTTATTAGGACAGAGTGCTCTTATTGCACGCATTGGACTTGAACAGTCGGTAAAGAAATGTTTGTATGTGTGTGCTCTAAAAACAGCACCACGAGAGATTAGATAAAGGCTTCCAGGAGTAAAAATCAAAACATAAACCCTGCAGCACAGTTTGGTTCTTGTGCACAGTGGCCGTGACAAATAGGAGTTTAGGCAACTAAACAAATGTAAATTAAGAAAACCTCCTAGTTATTATGAAATAATCTTTCAGTAAAAGACTAATGAAAAACAGCGATATGATTATATAGATCACAGCTGTTTTTAAAGCAAAGACTCTGACCTCTGCTGAAGCATTTTGTCTAATTCAGACTGCGGCTGCTGCTCATGAAGAACGGTTCAGTGTCTCTAAATAGACTGCAGGGGTGTCAGAACCGGTTGCATTGGTTCTTCTGGATCATCTAATACGCTCTGAATGTTAATGCTCCTAAAAGATACATGACTTTATGTTTCCTTTGGTAGAATAAATAAAACCAGAGGAAAAAAATGCATTGTGGATGCTTGTTGCTGAATGATTTTGCTGAAAGCTGCCAAACAAGCTACTTGAAATACATAAATAGTTGAAAGATATAAAGATGAGCTGAAAGGAGAACAAAAAAGCTGAAATTATTATTATTTTTTTATCTTGAAAGAAGCTGAAATTAGCAGAAAGAAGCTAAAATAATAGAAACATGCACAAATTGGAAATTAAAGAAGGCTGAAAGGAGCGCAAAAAGCCTGAATTAGCAGAAAACACTAAAAGCAAAACAGCTAAAATTAGCAGAAAATCAGTTAAAAATAGCTGAATAAATCACAAAAAAGCTGAAATTAGTACTTGAGGCTGAGCAAGAACAGAAACTTGAATAGGAATAAGGGTCAATGTTCAAGGTTCTTTATTGTTATGGCATCACATGTGGTACATGAGGTGGAACAAAATTGTGTACGCAAGGTCCCAGTTACATCCAAAAATAGCTAAAATATAAAGTATAAAAAGAAACAGTACAAGGATCTAAGATATATATGTTAAACACTAATAATGTAAAATAATCTGGTGTATTAAACAGCAGCCTGAACATGAGTCTGTTGTGAGCAGATGGGTATGAATACAGCAGCTTAAAGGCAAGAGATCAGCAGCATGGATAATCAGCAGCACAGACAAGTCAAATATCACCAATCAAAGTGGATTGGTATTTTTTTCTTACAGTGATAAGATAATAATAAGCGATAAGAAGCTGAAAAGAGCACTTAAAAATTGACAATAGCTGAAAAGTTGCCAAAAATGTGAAATTAGGCAAGATGAGCTGAATTTTGCAAAAAGGAACTATTAGGAGCTTAGAAGGCTGAAAAACACAAGTAGATAAAACTTAAATGAGCAGAATGAAGCTAAAATGAGTTAAAAGAAGCTGATAATAGCTGAAACAAGCTTAAAAAAGCAGAACCAGAGCAAAAGGTGAAATGAGCAGTGGAAGTTGTAAACAGCTCAAAGGATAAAGGATGTGAAGAGCTCCATTTATTTTCAATGATGAAAACATGGCTGAAAAAGCTAAATATTTCAACGAGTTAAAATTTCACAAATACAGCAGGAATGTCCTGAATAAGCTGAATGTTTCGACATATAAATAGCCAAAATTGCATAAAATCTGGGGAACAAGACAAATGCTGAAAACACTGTAGAAGAAAAACAGATCTCAGTGAATGTTTTACAAACATTCACAAAATCAAGAGGGCATTTGTCCACATGCTCTCATCTGCTCTCTCTCCGCCTGGACAGCATGTTACTGTTACATAACAGAGATTTCAGTTTGGATGAGCTGCATGACCTCAAAATGTCTCACTCCGTTTACATCCTTCCCGCTCTGCTGCGTCCGCCCGGTGTGCAAACCTCGAGGTGGAAAGAATCCATCTCTGAAACTGCTCACGCAGGATGAAAAAAGAGTGTTGACACTTGTAAGGTCAGACATCATCACTCACTGATGCCGCTTGGCTCCACAGGGCAGCTTGGACAACATCAGCATCATCCTGCTCTGCTTCCCTGGAGCCCCCCAGCTGTCAGCAGAGGCGTTGCATCAGGAGGCCGAGCTGGAGGACCTGCTGGAGGCTAAAGTGGCAGGTTAGTGATTGAAGGTGAAATGATAAACTGCTTTTGTCTGTGTTCAAAATGGCAGCCACAACCAACTAAAAAAATAGCTGTAATGTAGTAAGTTGTTTATAAATAATTAGCTAAAATTTAGTGTAGCTGAAAGTCATTACCAGCTCCGCATTGCTTAAACTTTAGCCTTAACTATTGAGGTCAACCCTGTCTTTCTGTCAGCAAAATATCTCATAATCATTAGTACAGATACTAAACTCTCAGGAAGTTATCCCCAAATGTGCATTTACAACTGATTAACTCCAGTTAAGAGCACGGCGGCTCAGTGGTTAGCACTGTTGCCTCACAGCAAGAAGGGCCTGGGTTCAATCCCCAGTTGGACCTGGAGTCTTTCTGTGTGGAACTTGCTTGTTCTTATAACGTGCTTGCATGAGTTTTCTCTGGGTACTCCAGTTTCCTCCCACAGATCAAAAACATGCATGTTGGGCTGCCTTCAGGCCCAGGCCTCCCTTGCAAAAGAGATCTGTGATCTCAGAGGGATTTAAATAAAGGTTGATAAATAAGATGATCCTGTTCAAGATGGCCACCGCAGCTAATCAACATTAGCTGACACAAAATGGCCATGGTGTCAATTTTATGACGTCTGTTTTACAGATGTTGAACTAAAATTGGATGTGGCAGTAGCTGAGAGTCATTCACAACACATATTTGAGTGTTAGGTTGTCCCTTAGTGTTAGATTGTTGTTATTTTCAAGGTTTGACCAACAAAACTACAACCTCATCATTTCCCAACATGAAAAACAAGCGGCAGGTTAATGTCCCCCAACTCTGAGGGATTAGAAAAATGTTTGTAGTTTTAGAGATGACTGTTTTTCTGGACTGCAATTAAACAGGGAGTGCAAGTAAACCTTAATGTTTTTGGTGTAACATATTCAAGTGGGTGGGTGGTGTTAAAATGTGGAGAAGAGGTAGTTGTGACGGATTCTGACGAGTGGAGGAAGCAATTTTATTCACCACCAGGAGCAGTGGTGGAGCCAGGGGGTGGCCAGTGGAGGCCTCGGCCACCGTAGATTATTATTTAGCCACCCCGCCGGCGACCACCCCAGTAATTTAAAGAAACTATACTTTTCACTAGTATATAAACTAGAAAGCATAGTTCCTTAAAATGATTGGGGTGGCAGGTTTACACACACACACACACACACACACACACACACACACATGGCAACGGCCATCTAGGATTTTGTCGTGGCACCCAGTTTTTGATAGTGACACTTCTTACACCTAGATGCAACCATACACCAAAATGAAAGTCAGCACGTTGCTAATTTTTCAAGTTGTCCAGGTCACAAGACGAACGGACATATCATGGCAGCCATCTTAGATTTTGATGTGGATGCCCAACTTTGGATAGGGACTTTTTGTTAAATCTGGATACAGTGACACACCAAAACGTTTTATTTTAAGTTATCTCAATCACAAGGTTAACATACATATATGGTGGCAGTAGAGAGTAAAATGCATTCTTTTAAGGAATGCTAGGACTTATATTTGTATTACTTTGTTTAAAATAAACCTTAGTGAACATAACCAGTGTTGTTCAGAAAATCCTAATAGTAAATACTTTTGCCTTGTTTTTAAACAAATCCGTTTTTCAGTTACATGTGTGAGTTTTAAAAAACACTTACCGTCATCGTACAACTCCATAAAGAACTGTCAGATGAAAAGTGTTCGTTGATCTCCGACAGAGATTTACGATGAGTTATCGGCCAGCGGAGAGGAGCCTGATCTGCTGGCTGTCCTCACAGTTCTGGCGTCCACCGTCATTCCCGGGTTACCTCCAGGTGGAGGCATTCAGAGCAAGTAAGACATGCAAAAACAACTGTTTACATGTTCGTGTGTCAAAGCCACATGTTTACAACATATATGGATAAAATAAACTATGCTACTTTTGTGTGTTTAAGGAGGAACTGTATTATCTCTGCTTACTATCAACAAAGAGAGCAAAGAGAGACGCGCAAGCCTGAAGTACCAAATGTAAGAGAACCTATCTCCTTAAAACTATTACAAGATATATTTATTCCTTGAACATGCACAGCTAATGTTGCCTGCGACTTCTTTTTTTTTATCTTTTCCAGGATCTTGGAAGCTCATGAGAAGTTGAAGCAAGTTTTGTCTTTTTGAATTCACAGAGGGACTGTAATTATTATGAATATTAAAAGTGTTTCCTTTTGTGCAGTGTATCAAAAAAGGAACTCATGAACAGACGGTAGTGTTTGTTTATATCATTCTAGCAAACAGCATCTTGTGCTAACAAATTTGACGCAAAAAATAGTTCTAATAATACTTTATATTTATACTATATTTTGTTAAACCTCCTCGGAGACTGAGAAACGATCTTTGCCTCTTATTTTGTGAACAGACAGTGCAGATAATTTACACATTTGACAGACTGTAAAACTACATTACAAACAACTTTGAAACCATATTTTCATTTGACAAAATCAGGAATGAATACGAGTTAAATTGTAATTTAGAGGCAGTATTTTTAAAAGTGAAATGAAATATAAAGAATTTAATGTTTGCCTTTCTTTTCCAGCGTAGTAAAATGAAAGATAGCTTTGTAAAAACTAACCAACTGTTAACAAGAAGCTAAATTATGTTTATTTGTTCAATCAGGGAATGCTAACGAACAAGCGTTGTCAAAGCTAAGCAGTGATTAGCATGCTGCTAAATTATGTCTGTTTCTTTAACCCAGGGGTCTGCAACCTGCGGCTCTGGAGCCACATGCGGCTCCTTAGTCCCTCTGCAGCGGCTCTTTCAAGCTTTGACCAAAACTAATTTTTAACTGAATTTTATTGGTTCTCATCACAACAAAAAGAGCTAGTTTTAGTATTTTCTTGTCATTTCCTTTGCAAATATGTGAATACAACAACTACTGTAATAAAAGGAGTAAAACATATTCACTTTCACTTTATGCTTTATTTCTTCAAAATAGGATACTTAATTTTTCTACAATTAAAAAAAAACCACAGACCTGCATAGATTGTTTTAATTTTTTTAAATTGAGCAAAAACATTATTTCTCCTTCTTTAGAAGAATCATGTCTTTCATTTTGTCTTTAAAATGTAAAAAAAAAAATCAACAAATGTCAAAAATCATTAGATATTTTCAGTTTCATAACATCACCCCTACTGGCCAGAAAAGCGCCCTCCAACAAACGTAAAGTGGTCCGCGGGCCACCAGTTGAGAATCCCAGTTGTAGCAGATATTGTGGCTCTGGACACGTTTAACTTAGAGAACACAGGAGCAGAAATGACTCTTGATTGTAAAGGTTGCAGACCCCTAATCAAAAGGTTTAATATACAA